ATCCTCTATTCTATCTTTAGCTTGTTTTCTTTTTTCCGATAAAAACACACTTAGAATTACAAAAAGCAACCAATTTAATGAAATATCACCATTTTACCTAATTACCTATTAATTAAAATAGTCGATTAATCAATATGAATCGGACATGAATACAATTCCAAGTATAGGTAGGTAGGTGCCAATTCATTGATATATTACAACGGCAATCATAATCGTGCATGAATACACTTAGATATACGTGAAGAGAAGAAGCATTTCAATAATGTACGTTTCTATTACAATAATAAAATCTATAATTGATGTGCATTACCTTTATCATTATTAATATCATCATATATCTGAGATGAAAATCAATAATGATAAACAACATACATACACGCACACATACATGGATACAATACAAATGGAATAGAATACTGTACGAAATCGGAAAAATATTGATCTTAAGAACAGTATTATTTTCTCTCTCTCGTTTAGTATTCATGTATATGTGTGCGTGTAGCTATGCACAAATTAATCAACTAATTAATTTATAAACCATCAATAACTGACATTTTTTCTAGAAAATAAGAAAATTAGTGGTAGTTATTTTTTTTCTTCTGAGTAGTTGTTATTCATTGGTTTTTGGAGATTATCATTGACGATGCTAGGATGAGTTTATAAAGAAAAAATGGACAGGAAATGAATTGATTCCTTCTAATTTATGGAATAGGTAATAAAGCAACTAAAATATTCCTATCAAAACTGGAGTTCTTTCGGGTTCGTTCAATGTAAACAAAAAATACACATTATTATTGTTATTATTATTCCCATTTGTTAATTTCAGAAACTCAATTCTATGTTAAACAAGCTGTTGGTTGTAGTTGAAAAAATGCCAGTAAAACTGTGTATATTATAAATAAAATAGGTGCCCTTGGAGCGTTACTTTAAATTATTGCTGAAACTACGCAATAAGGCATAATATTAATATCTAGCTGTAAAGTGTCAGACAGAGATGGTATATCGTGGTATAAGGTTATGAAAATTCATCGACGGCCAGTAGTTGAGACATGTGTTTCGCATACTAATAGACTAGGAGGGACCAGAACAAGATATGGCTGTATTATGAGGTGTCACCTTTATGGTCAAAGTAGTATATGATTAAAATCCCTGATAATAGCCCAAATCTTTAAAAATAATTTATCTTGGCATTACTGATTCATTTTGAGCTATATTCTCTACTTTTTTACGCTAGACGACCATTAACATCAATAGTCTGAGTTTATAGTTCTCTCTCTCTCTCTCTCTCTCTCTCTCTCTCTCTCTATATATATATATATATATATATATATATATATATATATATATATGGATGTGTCAGGTTCTGCTCAAGAAGAGAGGAGAATAAAAAATTACACCACTCAATGTAATTAAAATTCTCACGATAACTGGTCTTAATTTAATTACAAAAACATTGAATATTACTATTATTAGTATAGAGGTTTTGTGGAGAATGGTGAATTTTCATAGTTTGAAGAAAGGACTGATCTCATTTAAGTCACCATAGAAAACCAAGAAGCACTGTACAACTGTCTCATCTTGCTACAGAAATCCTCACACGTGCACATTTACGACTTCGGGGAAAGCCGAACCCAAGACCTTAGGCCCCACGTGTGCAAGTGCTTAGCCTCTTGACTACTGGGCCTGGGTTGAACTGAGGAGTCCCATATACTTGAAAAAAAGATCTCAAGTGGGTCCTGATGTTAGTTTGTAGTCTAACTGAGATCAGCTCATGATATTAACTATTAATATTTCTTTCTACATTCAGTAAGAAGTAAACACATGGTGAAAGTATATAATAACTGTTAAATTCAGTCTAATAGAGATCATATCATTATACTTGACAAATTGCTTACAAGCTAATGTCAGTCAATCAAAAAGAATTGTAGTCAGGTGTAATTCCGATAATTAAATGTGAAATTTGGAATTATTATGTGATAGATACTAGTTTAGTGATTTCTAACAAGTAGTATAGTTAGAAAGACATCGTTTTCAGTCTATGAGATATTAGAAAAAATAACAACGATGAAACTATTGTCAAAAATGTATTGATTGACAAAGTAAATCTATTTATACATGAAAGTTTGAACTACAATAGTAACAGTCAAGTTACTCAAAAGAACATGTTAAACTTGTAGTCGGATAAATGTTTAGTAAAGCTCGACAACTGCAAAACATAGGAAACGTAATCTTAGTGTTTAAATTAGAGAATTGTTCAATTAATTTTACTGGAAATGGCTTACCAATGGAGTGGAATAACAAAATAACTATTTTAACCCACAGATAAACTTTTTTATTATAATTTATCAGTGTATTTAAAATCTTCGATAGAATGTTGTACCCAATTGGCTTTGAAATAGTGTACGAGTCCAAAGACCAGGAGGTCAATGGAAGACAAGACTAGTGTGTACAAACTACAAAATTAAATGCGACCACCGGTATCATAATACATCAACTAAACGAGTCATTGGATTGCTTAGATAAATAATATATGAGGACCATTTAATATTGCACGATATTATCATTGATTTCAACATACAAAGTCAGATAACTATAGCTGAGTTTATCCGAGACATTATAAAGGCTCAAACTCATAAACTATGAAACTATTTATTGTAACATACCATTCAAGTGAGATAATTATCAATAAATATGGTCGAGTAATGTTGGGGTAATCATGAGATCGCTCAGTTTTTCGTAATAATCTTATTCTTACTAGCAACAATAACCACTACTACTTTTCTTTAATTTAATGTTTTGCACGACATTTGCCCTTTACTGATTGGTTGTCACTACTTTTAGTTCGCTAGTTCTTTGTGTACTTGAAGTTCATGCATTCGTTACTATATATAGTGGCTTTTACTATTTGAGGTTAATCTGCTTGAATATCAATTTTTTCCTACAGCTCATCGTTTTTTGTGTTAGCAGCCAATTGTTAAAGTGTTGTATCTAAACTGGTGTTATCGTTCGCACTAGACCAGCTTAATCGTTCGATCATTCGCAAATATATCGTAAGTCGACCGGAGACCCCAGTAGATAAAATCGTTTTTTTTTTCATTAAGATGCAACAGGTCAGCTTAGAAAGAATAAACAAGTATAAATATCATTACAGAACAAATATTATTGCCAGTCTTTAGAGACTACGATTAGTCCAGTAACATGGAATGAAGTTAATCATAGGTTGAAGAAATAGATCTATGGAAAGATCATAGGGATGCGTGCATTGAGTGAATTTTACTACTGAAATTGAGTTAAATAAAATATTAATGATCAGAAAAATTGATAGTCCACACCACCACCGATAAAGAAAAGTCTAAAAATAGGATATTTGCGACGACCTTCCAGTACTATAATGTTTTCAATGGTGGTCTAACTTAGATCAGTTCATGATTTTAATGAAAAACAAACGCATGATATAAACCATAAAACGCAAATTCAATCATACATCAGAAGAAAATATATTAAAATAACATACCCAATGGAATCTTTGAATTCACACACAATGGAATACATGAAGGAACTGAACCATGAAGTACAGATAAAACTGACGGTGAAGATGAAATACTTGAAGGTGAAATCGGTAAGTTTTCTGATGATGATGGGTTTGTTAAAATTTTTAAAGGCATAAAAGATGTAGACAGAGTAGAAGAATTGTAGATTACACTTGATGGAAGTGTTGTCGCCGCTGTTGATGTACAGTATGATGGTGAACTGATGTTAGTCACATAATTAAGATTGTCTGATGTAGGTAATTGATTATGAGTAATTTTAGTATTATGTACATTGTTCAATGGAAAACTAGCTGAACAAATGTCAATGGTACACAACTCCGTATTTATCATTGGATTAATTGGTGAAAATATAGGCGTATTATTTTTATTATTACACAGATAAATGGATGAATTTAAAGGATGTGAGTACGCAGAAGACGTTGTTGTTGTACATGAAGACTGAAGATGAATTCGATTAATTAGAATATTTTGGATAGATACTAAAACAGTTTGAATTTCTAAAAATTGTTGTTTTAATTGACTGACTTCTTGAGATAATTTATTTTGCTGGGAATGATAAAAGTTAAATGGAGAATGATTGATTTTAGTGCAGGTGAATAATTACGAATATCGATGTCTTTGAGTGGTGCTTACACTTAAAGAAATATGTACAAATTGGTTCAGCCAAATAAAGTAAGTGGAACGCAGCGAAATATAATTTCAAACTGACTTAATAACTCAGAATGAAATAAACAAAATATTAAGCAATCTCTACAAAATCGTTATTTGGTACCGAAAATCTGGAATTAAAGTAATTTTACTTGGGAAATAAATATTCACTGAAAAAACCTTCAAACCAACGACTCTAAATGCACCAGTTACACATTCATATTATATCCCCCAAATATCCAGATACGGCCAGTGGTGGGGAAAGAAATGCTCTTATATGGCCTCACATAGATAGCCACCGCCAGGGAAGTCCTATTTACTACCTTCTCGTATCGACTGTGTTGTTTACGGAAAGCAGATGCCCGATGTTTAAACCAGGTTGATGGGTACCGAGAATTTACCTAGGGAAGTAGGGTAACCTTGATTTCAGACCGATGGTGCACATGCGCTCTAGGATCATGAAGGGACAAATAGTGTATGAACCTATCTACGATAGAAGTAATTACAGAAAATAGCTGGATTACTTAGTTTTGTATGAAACAAAGCTGTAAAGCGAAATATGAATATATTAATTGGGAAAATGACTAAATCAATAATGAATTCTATAAGACTGTAACAATTTATGTTTTTGTTAAACTCGTTATTTACATGAATAAGAGATGAATCGTCAGTACATTAAATTGTTAAATATAAAAAGTAAATATGCATCAATGTATATTACCTGATTTCGTACATCTTTTAAAATTTTCATACGAATACAGTTTTCTCTACATTGATGACAGCACGTTGAAGAGGAATTATTTAGTCTGGTGATAGTTGGACAAGAATTTGTTGAAACCGAACAATTATCATCGTCATTCTCATCATCATTTTCAAAACAGTTTCGTCAACATCAATTTTATGTCTAAAAAAAACAATCAATTGAACAATTAAATACGTACAGGGAAAAAAGTCACGACAAAGAAGAGGTCGTCAACATAGTAAAATAATCACCAATAGTCAAAGAAATAACAAGAAAGTTCATCGCCAACAATAAACAAATGAAGTGTTGACAGTGAAAGTATACTTTACTGACAACCTTTCCAGCGACTAGTAAAATGACTTTGAGAAAGTAAAGCAGATTCTCGACCAATCCAGATGCAAGGAGTATTGAGCGAAAAGAATATGATTTATGCATTTTGCAATTAGCTTTTTGATTTTTCCATGTTTTGAACTTTTTGTGAAGATCCAAGAGCAACAATCTTCAACCTGATTGGAGGCAGATACCAAAAGAATGAACAGCACTTAGCAGAAATTGGAAAGGACAGCCTATAAAAGTGTAGGTTGGAGATTCCTGATCGGTTGGTTTTTTTCTCCACGACGGGTAACAAGCGTAAATAAGTAAGACTGCTACCAGAAATATCATATTTTTACAAAGTAACAACCAGTTTTATCGTTCGATTATATATCTAAAACAAGATTAATTATAAATATCTCGGTTCTAGATGTCAGTTTCAGCCCAGTAGTTACGTCTTCAAACTGCGAAACTGAGTGACAAGGGATAAAATTGACCAAGGACCACCAGCTCCAGTAGGATTACCGGTACACCATACTGACAAATGCTAAATAACACGAAACCTAAGTTCAGGGTTTCCTATAGGTCAATTTCAACCAGCTATCATCTGCTATTTTGTTTTTAGGTCTTGAGTCTTAAAATTACTTTATACTTTTTATTTTAAGAATTTATATTCTCTAGAATAATGTCTTTTAAGCTTAAAGTTAGGCGTTACCACTGCTACTGTTACTCTTCCTACGGCTTGGGCATTGTGCTGTATTAATGTTGTATAGTAACTTGGAGCAAAGCATATATGTCCCAGTTCCTGACTAATTATGTAAATTTATAATATGTGCTTGGAAGTGGGAAGTCCCATTTGATTCAATATATAACAAGCTCTACACTAGGGTATCAAAATACAATAAATTAACACACATTTTTAATTATTGCACAAAAATGACAAATATTGGCGTCCAAATGTATCATTTTTATGTATTAGACAGAAAACTAGTACACTTTTCATATTGACAATTCAAAAATACAGTATCATATCCTCCAACAAAGAACTAGACTAACTATTGGTTGTTAAAATAAAACAAATAATAATAATAGTAGTGAACAACAACAAAAAACACTGAGGTAGGTGTGGGTGAATGAGTGAGTGAACGGACAAACGAGCATTTGCGCTGAATAATAATAATAATATCTATTCGAATTGGACCAATCAGTCAGTCAATCGAAAAAAAAATTCATCGATCATGATCAATAAATCAGAACTGACACAAAGAAACAGATGTTTTCAATAAATTATGTGATAGATATCGTTAACAATAATTAAACTGTACATCAAATTTTCTACCGCTGCTCAGTATTCAATACGATGTTGTTAAATAAGCACACACACACAAAGACCTCTTACAAAAAACTATGCATATATATATGATTAATTTCTCTCTCTCTCTCTCTCTCTTATAATCGATTACAGATATATATATATATATTTATGTAGATAGAGAAATTATTGATTGGTGGGTAAGAATTAATTCATAGGAAATCTATAAGTAGAAAAGCGATATAATAGATGACCTTGACAAATAGCAAATCATTTTAAAGATAGACGGGGGTTAGACTATGAAAACCACAAACATCCAAACGTTGATTATTCAATAATAACAATGCTGATCATTAAATAAAACAAGAAAAAGAAGCAAAAATTGATGATAGATAGGATGAAGAGCATGTTAGAAGCTGACTCATTCATCTCTATCTATGGTATGAAAAAGATTTTCTATCATGATAATTATAAGAGAATTAGCGTTAAGATGGTTCAATCTGTTTCCAACAAAATGTGTATATCGGTATCTAAGCGAGCAAAAGACGCATAAGAAGCTCCGACGTACTAGTTCGACGATGTGTAGTCGGATAATGATAAGCGAGGTCTTTTAAAGAAAATTCTAATGGTACACACACATACACGCATTACGTTAACTAAATACAAAAAAGATTGAATTTACGGGAACTGATATTCAAGATCGATCTCCGATTTTAGTGTCTTAGGTGATGGGGTCAGAGTTTCAGTCGCATATGGCATACTGACACTGTTGAAGTTACATGTATTTAGAAAGTCATAAATGGGATAAAACGCGCATCGTGGATTTCATTGTTAATCATTACATAAAAATTACTAAACAAATCCAAACTATACACGACATTGATTTTAGCAAACTGGTGAACTGTATCTAAGACGAACTGGTTCATTACAAGAACTAATCATCTAAGTGCTGTTTCATGTACAACTAAATTCACCAATGAAGATAAATGTATTAATGGTATAAAATGGTATGCTTACGTATGATTTTCCTGAAACTAAAACCGTTACCTATTGGCAGTTTCATAGTGTGAATTATTTTGTACAACCACAATTATTTCTGATAAGAAAACATTTTAAATAATCACATTATACACCATTGAGATTTCAATATTTATTCCGCAGGATTTTGATTGAGTGTTTACTCATTTGTTTGAAACACATCAACTTGCATACACACGATGCAGTGTATCAATACATTTCAAATTAAGTTAGGATTTAGTATAAATCGTTTTTTGGATTTCAGTGTTATCTGAGAACTAGCTTATATTTGGAAATAAGTTACATGAACGAATGACAAATTCATATAATCTTACACATTCTCTATTTTTCACTTGAACAAAACATGGAGAGGTGTGATTACAGTACTATGTCAATTATCTTTATTCTTCCATCTGTAATTATGTCGTAATTTAGCTATTGGGTTTGAACTTTCCAATGACTTCAACATCAAGTGTAGTGATAATACAGCCAAAAATCTAGTTGTAAGGCGTGAGAACTGAAATACGGGATAAATATAGGGACTAGCTGATTACTTGGAACGATCGCTTCACTTATCTTGGAAGTCTCATCAGCTCTTGTGGTCTGGTGTGTGGCGAAATCTCAGCAAAGATACAGAAGGCTCGACTAGCTCTTGCCAACTTGCGTCATTTATGGCGTAGGCGAGATATCCGTCTATCAACCAAAGGACATGTTTATTGCACAGCAGTTCGTTCCGTCCTAATTTATGGCAGTGAAACATGGCCGGTAAGAGTAGAGGATATTCGTAAGTTACTAGTAATTGATCATAGATGTCTTCGAAATATTGCTCATATATCATGGGACCATGGAGTAAGTAACACAGTTGTTAGGAAACGGGTACTAGGTAAGAATGGCAAATCAATTGGTGAAGTAGTGAAACTTCATCAGTTGAGATGGCTGGGACATGTGTTACGTATGCCCAACCACCGACTGCCTCGATGTGCGATGTTCAATGGTATAGGAGTAGATTGGAAGAAAACTAGGGGCGGCCAGACCAAAACATGACACAAGTCCATGAAGTCACTGACAAGTGAACTGAGTCATGTTGGTAGGTGTAGACTACCTGGTTGGGGACCGCGAGATGATAGCAACCGATGGTTAGAGACCCTGAATGACATGGCTCAAAATCGTTTGAAATGGCGCAGGTGCATCCACTCTTTGTGTTCTCCCAAATTCTAATCTTCTGAATCCTTCATGTCCCTTTCTTATTTTCTCTTTCCAAATTTATTTCGCTGGATTATACTCCTTGAATAACATCTTCAAAGCCTAATTTTTCTGATTACAGCTTATACTCTTACTACATCTAGCACTACGGGATTTGAATCGACCACTGCATCTCTGTGCTAATGTGGTATGGCAACTCGAACTGATGTACGTACGTACGAAGTTCTACGTTATTACTGACTGACTGAATCAGCCGTATTATACTACAGGGTGACTAGCAATAAAAAATCCAGACAACGCAGTTCAGCAGTAACGCGGTCACTCCAAAACCGAGGGCTTGGGAAGTGATCTTTTTGGCTACTGAAGGATTTAGCAATGTGACTGGAGTTTCATTGCTGGGTGTTGGATTATTGGTTAAAAGTGTTTGAATTTCAGCCAGGTTCAAGACCCGTTTCATCTACTTTAGTTAAGGCAGTCGGGCAGTATTATCATCCGCCACACTTGGAGTGTGACTCACACCTAATTACTTGGGAAATAAGTCAAGAAAAAAAGTAGGGTTGCGTTTCTACGGTGCGGAAGTTCTCGGTCTAAATTAATTAATAGTGAATTGACAAAGCATTAAGAGGGAATACCATACTTCAAAGTTGTGAAGAATTAAATTTGAATAACTAAATTCCGAAGTTATTAAATATTACATTTTAAAATTTCATCATTCAAGAGCAAAAAGGTAAAGAAAGATCTTACCGAATTTTTAGTGACAAAAACAATCTTTCAGTAGTAGAAACTCGATTTCCAATCAATAAATCACAGGTTAAAAATCAGGTGAACCTGATTTGGTTTCGACAGATAACTGGTATTACTAGCTCTATCAACAAAATTTTCATCATAAATCGTTAAATATATTACTAATCTGTTAAATATTTTTTTACTTTAATAATATACAGACTAGGAAGACTACTAACTAGGTACATTGTACAACTGTGTAATTAACTTGTGAGGTGTAATAGTTCATTCGATAAATACGCTACAGTTTAATGCTTAAAGAACAGATAAGATAAACACAATTTTGAGTTGATAAACACGTACTTGTCCTAATTATTATTAATTTTAGTAGCGGACGAAGACATAATAAACCTTACCCAATTAATCGTTTTAAGTGCCGACCACAACGTTTGAGGATTTTCAATCTGTACATAGAACTTGAAGGTCTGTTTTTATATGACTTTCTGTTTTTAAAGTGTGTCAAACAGTGGTGACTAGATGGATCATCCTTTACAGAATGTAAATTATTTTGTCGATCCATTAATGTAGCCCGAGAAATCGAATTTACGATAGCGACGGAATGCCCAGATGTTGCTGACGGATCAGTTTTCTCCAAAGTGCACATTCTATAGAAAAGTGGCTATTTTGAATGACTCCAGTAGAACATATGACGAATTATCTACACGCGAAACAATACAAAATAACCAGTTACACAAAGTGAGAATTATAACAACCAGAAAACAAACACCCATGGTATAAACTATTGCGCTACCTCAAATAATTAGACTGTAAATATGGGTTATCAAAGTCCAGATATACAATAGAAAATCGTTCAAAGCCAGTATTTCTACTCCATGCATATGGAACATAAACTAGCCAATGGTATTCAGTTTACGTTTTTAGAACTGATATAATTTTGTGGAAGCTAAATGCAATTAATCACGTAAATTTATTTAAAGCAGAGAACTTGTTAAATGAGTGAATTCATGACATTGGTGACTTAAGCGCGTTCAACTTATTTTGCCTCAGAAACTCATATTGATGATTATTCATCATACTAATGTGGTCGGTTTCAGTAACGTTACACAAAAAATTGAGTTTGTATAAAAATAATCACCACACGATAATGATCTGTAAACAGTAAGCATTGATCTGAAACTTCCATAACCAGTGGTGAGGTCAATGAGGGGTTCCCAAATGAACATGTGAAAAGTAAACCAAAGGAGGCTAAGAGACTATTTGTGAGATACTGGAGAAACATAGAGCGAGTAAAGATTAATTCATCTGTGTCCTGATAAGCATTTGTTTATAGCAAGCACCAATATAAGACGTTCCTTGACGTAATCACCAATATCTATTCAACCGTTGGTAAAGATGGCCACTAAACAGAGATGAGCCAAGGGTTCATGTAGTTTTTGAAGTACTTGTCTATACACCTACCAAATTAATGTTTCAAATCAAACGAAAATAGATTTAATACTGATTGAATTTTATGCCCGATTTTCAAATAGAAACATCTAATATGTACTTAAAGAATTGGTTATGAGGTGGAAAATAGTAGCCTATTTTTACACTATCGTATCGAAATATCAAGTAAAGTTTATTTGAAAATTAGAATTGAAAGGTTACGTTTGATTGAAGAATAGAAAAGTGGACTTCGGTAGCATTAAATAAGGAATTAAAAATCCATCTTCTTAGCTACAAAAAACTTATGGCACACAAGCGACGTAGGAGCGGACTGATAAAAACTAATTCACCAAAAGTATTAGTACAAATTTATAACGAAAGGATCATGAATAGACATTAGTATGGACGTGCTTTAACGCAGAAAGTCAACCCAACTTCAAGAGGATATAGGTTTGGAATTTACTTAGGTGATAACTTATGGTCACTAGTTTGACCAATACATCTGCTACAATGAGAATGAAAAAGTAAGTTCGTTAGGCATGAAGTTTGTTTTTGAGAAGAAACTGCGTTACCTCCACTTATCATGGAAATCAGGATTGGTAGAATTATTAACTTAGAAGCAAACAGGTTGTTATGCTTATGAATACTGACGCTACATGTATTGCTGTAACATTAATACATATTACCAATGGGACAATGAAGAACATAAGTCGTTTTGCTTAAGACGTGTTGATGACAATTTAATAGAAACATACTAACGATGACATGAGGAATAGCGTCTAGGTAAAGGTCATATGCCTGATAACTGGAGGCACAGGTTGAGAGTCTAATAGACGATTTGATAGCAACGTACATACTAGCTTTTTAAACTAGATATTATTGAACGTGGTGTTCTATTACGCATGAATATGTGACGATTCATGCATCACTCTACTAATAGTTACGTCGAAAGTACTCGCTGACATTTTTGTGGTCAAAATAATTGCATGGCAAGAATTTATGGGTAATATTATGTGAGCTGTTGTGAGAATTGATCACTTGTGTCTCTTGTGACAACCAAAAGGAAAGCTAGAGATAAAAATCTGACATCACCAAAATTGGAAAGAGACCGGTTGCAAATTTAAGGTTTCGGTATGAGTTAAGTCCATCATTAGCAGGTTAACTGAATGACAAAATTTGCAACTACTAAGTGAAAAAAATCAGCAACCAGGTCAAAGGAAATGTGTAGTAACTGAAGGAAATGTGCCAAAACACACTTGAAGATTACGATTTCACCAGCGTTTAGGCAAATGGAAACCTTAAATCTATAACTGCTCATCTTCAACTAAATATAATGTACAACGTACATTGCACAATGTATACGCCACAATAAAATAAATCAAAACTTCCCAATCTAATACTACGTAACATACATAACTAGGTATTATTAGGATGATGATGGCTAATGAGATTAATTTTAGTGACTGAAATCTATCAAAGATATTTTGTCCTTGATATAAAAACAATCAAATATGCCAGAAAAGGAAGATCAAATTTAAACATATTTTTCGGAAATATATAGGGTGAAAATACCGCGTTTTCGCCTATGACACTCCAGACAACGATAGGCAATCAACATTAGGAGGAAATCTGTACGCTGGAGCCAAGCGATAAATATAACTGTGAAAGTTGGTTTAAGTTTCACCAAAAAAATTTAATCGATAAGACGAGAAAATAAACTGAAGCAATTTAAACTGAGTGTTAAAAATGCATTAAGCCATTATCCATCAAAGGAAATAAAAACATACAGTGCATCAGAATGATAAAATCCAACGAAGATCCAAACATTGAACCGTTTGAAAACAAATGACCTAAGTAATTGAAGAAACTAAACAAAAGTACTCAGTCGTTAAATAATTTCATGTAGTTGTAGAAAGAATTAAGTCTACTATGATTTGCAGTCTTTCGTATCTACTGTCTAAGGATTACTGGAACTTGCGAATGGGGATTTATGTATTAAACAAACGGCAGTTTTGGTTAAACAGTTTAAGATGATATTCTGAGTCCTTGTGAAAACATAGAGTTCAGTGTAAATGAACTTTATCAACTTATTTCTGTCAATTTAGACAGTAGACAAATATAAGGCTCGAGCGTTTTTAAAAATAGAAAGTAACCCTATAGTGCCATAAGCTAAACTAGACAAAGACTCCGATTACATCCTATATGTTTTACGTTAGGGCTTGATTTAAGTGTGTGTCTCAGAGGATTTTAACCAGTGACCATAATCTAGCAGGCTATCATTAGGTTACCTCTACTTCCATCATTCTAAGAGGTATAAATCTAGTGATTTCAGGAATTTCTTGTGCGACCAGGACTTAAGTCCATATACTAATTTTATGGCTCACCTTCAAATACACTTTGGTGCTTTTATCCATTCCTCAAAGAGAAGGAAACATCGTCTTTTTGTTCCCTAATAACGTTGAATAAAACCGAAAAAACCCAAATGTTCAGTGATACTAGTCCACGAATGGCCGAAAGGCGTATTAGTTACACTTAGAGTATGATATTAGGTCGTAGGGAACAAATCTTTCCCAGTTAACTTGTATTCTACCCATTGGCTTTGGTTTCGGAGATCAGAAAGTCTGGATGGATTTTACTCTAAGTTGATGGAAAGCCTTATCAAGTAATGGTGAAACCCATAGCTTTGTACTACCTAAGGTCATATTCAGTAATAACTCTTACCTAGCGTATCTGAATGGGGGGAGATTTCCTATTCCGTCAGCACAAGATTGCACGTTAGTGAGCCGAGGCGTCCAAACTTTCAGACACTGTATTCAGTACTTTGATTTTTTCAAATAAATTTGAAGAATATTATAGTGCGATTGCTTTTATCCAGATAAGACAGAGGCGAGAATTCATTGGCTAGAAATACTTTATTCGTAAAGATATACATTAGGCGTGGCAGTGTCTGGCTGTTTCTCTGACTTGCTGACTTAATTTCCCACAATAACCGTAGTCCTTTTATGACACCGGATAATCGATCGTGAATCGATTTATCTCCCCACTGTATGCATTTTCAGCTTAGCTTATTTTATGGGGAAAAAAGACCTCTTAGACAAAACCCTTAATGTATCTTAGTCTTAAGCCGATGCTTGACACTCTTTGCACTCAATTTCCTTCACCGGTTGTCAGCAGTATGCTTTCTACAAACAATTTCATTTGGATATTTCTGAGTCTAAGGCAGACTTATTAAGCATAATATACATTCATAAGGACAAGCAAACTCTTGAGTATATAACTTATATGACAACAGAACACAGCTTTACACCTACTTCTCTATCAATACTAAACGAAGAAATACTATGTGACGAATTAGTAATGCAAATGGCACAAATACACCTCAAGGTCTTTCCGTGGACCACCTCTGTTATTATGTAATTTGTTGAAAGCGTTAGAAACAGACAGTAAACTCAATATATTTGTAGAGTTACGGTCTAACTCAACATAGGTACATACATCCTTGCTGTTATAATAACAGGCTTAATCCTTAAATCGTAGATTTGTAATAATTTGACTACCTAATCTATAAGACCCTATATGGAAGTCACATCTTTATCTACACGGAGTCATTCAACCTGACAATCAGCAATATAACATCTAACACTTCTGAAGAACACATTCGAGCTGAGGAGAGAGTAATATATTCAAACAAAACGTAAAAGGTTATTCAGCGCGACCACGCCTACATGTCCGAGTTATGCCATTTTTATTAATTGTTGCCGCTTTCACCATTGTTGACCTTCTCTAGTGTTACATGTAGAAAGTAAATTTTCTCAGTAATTAAACGCACAGCTTCAAAGGTCGTGTGCTTAAGAACCAACACCACTACATATTTATTCAAACCAGTTTCTGCAGCGTGAACATGTATTGTATTCTTTCGCATCTCAAATAATTGTGCTGAATGGTAAATCGACAGTAATCTACGAGAGAGACGGTTCAGTACCAGGACCTCTTCTTTTCTTGATTTATATAAGTCTTACCACAACAAGTTTCGTCAGATTTGTTACTCCTTGCTGATGATGTGAAACTCTGGAGAAAGATACGCAAACAAGAGTATAAACTGGCACTTCAAGAGGATCTAAGTGGACTTAAAGTTTGGTCAGATGACAACGGACTTATCCTTAACACTTCAGAATGTAAAGTAGTCCATCGAAGAGATGTTGCAGACCACAGCTACAA